CAGCGAGAGCCGCGCCGGCAGGTGTGCGGGGAGGACTCAACACTTCAAGAGCAGATGCTCCTTTTCCTCTGAAGCGGTCGCGCCCCCAGCGCCGGGCTGGGAGGTGGCGCCTCAGCGCCCTCTGCTGGACAAGCGTGCGCACTGCGCTCCAGTGCTGTGGGAGCTGGGGGTGCTTTCCTTTATCGCAGCCTTCTGATGTTTACCCGACGTCTTAATTTTATTTTTTAAAACTTTATTTACTAATTTTTGAGAGAGATCAGGAGAGAGCGCACGAACAGGGGAGGGGCAGAGAGCGAGGGAGAGAGAGAGAATGTCAAGCAGCCTCCAAGCTCAGCACCAAGCCTGATGCCGGCCTGGAGCCCACAACTCTCGGATCATGACCTGAGCCCAAAACAAGCTTCAGATGCTCAACGGACTGAGCCATCCAGACACCCCAACTGTCGTTTTAATTTCAAAATACAGTGAACACCTGGAAGTTCCTCTGTGCATTCAACTAATTCTCTGCATCCGTGGGCTTGACTGGACCCTATTAATAGCTATGGGTTCTTCAGGAAGGTCTGCAGCGTGCCTTCACTTGTGTTCTTTCCACAATACTCGTAGCTCTACAGTAAAAGCAGGCAGTCCTGAGTATGTGTGGCCCTCCTCTGGGCGTCCCCAAGACCGTCCCAGGGGCCCAGCAGGTCAGAACTGTTTTCATAATACTACGAAGCCCTCAGTCGGTCACTGCTTTCCCTGTGCTGACGTTTGCACTGATTGTTCAAAACCAACATCGATGAGCCCCCGGGGCACAAACGCAGGCACAGAGCAAGGCGGCTGCTCAGACCCCCCCAGATGCCACCCTGTTCTTCTTCTTTTTTTTTTTTTTTTTTACATTTATTTATTTTTGAGAGACAAAGTGAGACAGCCTGATCAGGGGGAGGGCCAGAGAGAGAAGGAGACACAGAATCCAAAACAGGCTCCAGGCTCCCAGCAAGCGTTCAGCACAGAGCCTGACACGGGGCTCGAACCCACGAACTGTGAGATCATGACCTGCGCCGAAGTCCGACGCTTACCCGACTGAGCCCCGCTGTTCTGCACTGCCCTGTGCTCACAGTGAAAACGAAAAGAGAAGCAGCGAATTCGGTGCTGCAGGTTCCTGTTAAGGTTCCCCTAAGGTCCTTGGCAAAGCAGTAAACAGTGATTGTATTAGATCCCAGTCCTTTCTAATATTCTGGGTGACAAAAGGCACTTCTGCTGCCAAAGTATGATGACTGTCCTCAGACTGTGGGCTGCTGGGCGGATGACTGTGAGCCAAACCAGCCCCTTTCGTCACGAAACACTGTGTGTGCTTGAAGGACTAACAGACAAACGATGATTTCTCAGACCTGGGGATTTGGCAGGCATTTTTCTGAAAAAGGAACAGCACAAGGCAGATGGATCCAGGGGGGAAAAACTAAAAACGACGGATTTGGTTGCCAATACATTTTCAACCAAAAAAAAAAATTAAAATTTTTCCTGCACCGGCTGCTGCGTGCTAACCACGTGTGCATCTTTCTGATGAGCTTGGTAATGACGATAACAAATGTGATTTTCAGTAGTGTGTGGTGAAGTGCATCAGCTTCTGGAACATTCATAAACTCGCTGAGCCAGTATCTGCCATGTGACCAGTGTGTGATGTCACAAAACCATACATGTGGCTAAAAGCTCCATTCAAATTGCAAGAGAATAGTAGTCTTTTAATCAGTTGTATTTTTTTAATCAAGGTAAAATTCACATAACATAAAATTCCTCTTTTTAACCATTTAAAAGTGTATGATTCAGGGGCGCCCGGGCGGCTCAGTCAGTTAGGCATCTGACTCTGGCTCAGATCGTGATTTCACAGTTCGTGGGTTCCAGCCCCACGTCGGGCTCTGTGCTGACAGCTCAGAGCCTGGAGCCTGCTTCCAATTCTGTGTCTCCCTCTCTCTCTGCCCCTCTCCTGGCTACACTCTGTCTCTCAAAAATATAAACGTTTTTTAAAATTTTCAAGTGTATGATTCAATGGCATTTAGTACATTCACAATGTTGTACAACTGTTAACCTTATCTAGTAGTTCCAGAACATTCTCATCACCCTAGAAAGAAACACCCTGGTAACCCTGACCAGTGGGCAGTCACCTCCTCCACCCTCCATTCCCTCCTCCTCCAGCCTCTGGCCACTACTCTGCCTTCCGTCCCTATGGATTTGCCTGTTCTAGAGATTTCATATAAATGGAATCATAGGCTACACGGTCTTTTGTGACCGGCCTCTCTCACTGAGAATCATGCTTTTGAGGTTCATCCGCATTGTAAACACGTATCACTACCTCATTCCTTTTTGCGGACGAGTAACATTCCATTGCATAGATGTACCTCAGTGGCTAGATCTATCCAGTCATCTGTGACCGACACTTGGAGTTTTCCTTTTTTTTTTTTTTTTTATTGCCATTATGAATGATGCCGCTATAAACATTTGTGTACCCAGGAGTGGACTTGCTGGGACATAATAGTTTAGCTGAGTTTATCTGTAACTCTTTGAGGATGTACCAGCCTGCTTTCCACAGCAGCTGTACCATTTTACATTCCACCAGCCACGTGTGAGAGTCCCAGTTTCTCCACATCCTCATCAACACTTGTTCTTTTTCTCTTTCCTTTCTTTCTTTCTTAGTAGCCATATCAGTACGAGTGAAGTGGTATCTCACTGGGGCCTGGGTTTGCATTTCCCTAATGACTAGTGGTGCTGAGCATATTTCCATGTGCTTTCTGCAGACATGGAAATGCTTGAGTCCTTTGCCCTTTTTTTAATTGAATCATTTGTCATTTTGTTGTTGGGTTCTGACAGTTCTTTATATATTCTGGGTACGAGACCCTTATCAGATAGATGGTTTGCACATATGTCTCCCATTCTGTGGGATAAAGTCCCAAAGTTACAAATCTTTGTAATGACTTTTTAAAAATCTTTTGCTTGTGCTTTTACTGTCATGTCTAAAAATCCATTGCCAAATCCAAGGTCATGAAGATAAGCTTATTGTACATGACTTATGTTTCCTCTAAGAGTTTTATAGTTGTATCTCTTACATTTAGTTCTTTGATTCATTTTTGAGTTGGTTTTTGTATATACTGTGAGGTAGGGGTCCAACTTCATTCATCTGCACGTGGAAACCCATATATCCTAGCCATTTGTTAGAAACCTTGCTCTTTCTCCATTCAGTGGTCTTGAACACCCTTGTCAAAAATCAGTTGACCATAGATATATGGGACTATTCCTAGATGTTTAATGCCATCCCATTGATCTATATATATCTATCTCTATGTCTCCCCTTATCCCAGTACTGCGCTGTTCTGGTTACTGTAACTTTGTAGTAAGTTTTGAAATGGGAAATGTGAGCCTTCCAACTTTGTTCTTCTTTTTCAAGATTGTTTGGGCTATTCAGGGTCCCTGGCAACCCCATATGAATTTTATGACCAACTGGTCCGTTTCTGAAAAAGCAGCTGGAAGTTTAATAGAGAATTCTGATAAGGATTTTGCTTTGAGTCTGTAGATCAACTTGGAGACTGTTGCCATCTCAATCTTAAGTCTTCCCATCCGTGAATATTCTTCCCGTCCATGAATATAGTATGTCTTCTGCTTCTTTAGGTCTTCTTTAATTTCATTCAACAATGTTTTACATTGTTACAAGTTTTCAATGTTATAAGTAATGTTACAAGTACTTTACCTTGTTGCGTTGGTTAATAAATTCATTCCTAGGTATTTTATTTTCTCTGATGCTACTGCAAATGGGATTGTTTATTTCATTTGCCTGTTGTTCATTGTTGAGAAATAGAACTGATTTTTGGGTGTTGATCTTGTAACCTGCAGCTCTGCTGGGTTTGTTTATCGGCAATAACAGATTTTTGGTGGGTCCTTCAGGATTTTCTATATTGAAGGTCATGTTTTCTGCATGTTACTTCTTCCTTTCCCATACGGGTGCCTTTGATTCCTCACTGCTGCCTGACTGCCCTGCGAGAACGTCAGCACAGTGCTGAGCAGCGGTGACGACAGTGGACACACACACGGCGGTCGAAAGAGGCGATGGGCAAAGCAGTGCCCCTCATTCCTGCACTCAGCCCCAGGAGCCCCATCCCGCTGCGCTTTCCGAAATACGTGTCCCCCCTGCTCTTGCACAAGCACCACTGAGGTCTGCCCTCACTGTGTGTTTGAGGACAGTCAGTGTATGAGGTCTCCTTCCGTCCGTTGCGCTCCTCTGCCTGTCGTCGGAGCGGCGGGGGGGGGGGGGCAGGCACACACAGGTCGCGTTCGGCACGGACCAATGCGGTGGGAGCCGCACACGGCTGGGGGTTTCCTCTGTGTATCGACCCTCTGCACCACCTCAGCTCCTTGCCTCCATGCGGTCCTTGGGACCCAACTCAGAAGCCCCTTCCCCCAGGAAGGCCTCCCTGTCAGCTGCACGTGACTTCCCCCGAGGCGCGTTCTCGTTCCCGTGTAACCCTCTTTGCCCGGCCCTCACTCGTCCACATCCCGGAGCTTATCCCTCGGACGCGTCTCCCCTTGGCAGGGCCACAGGGACTTTGGCCTGAGCTCTGTGACAGGGCAGGTGGGCCAGGAAGTCAGCGCCGCTGGCTCTCCTTGGGTGGACGGCTGATTGTCCCCAGCAACCGATGGCGGCTACGGGGGAGCAGCGGGCAATGACTCTGCTGGCTTTGCTTACACGTGACCTTCTGCCTCGGCCCAGCACCCCGTGCCCTGCATGCGCACACGCGGTTAGCACGCAGCCGCCTGCGCCGGCACTGCAGCGATAACGGAATGACACTCCCGGCCGCGGCCTGAACTCACGACCTAACCGTCTCCCCCACCTGCCTCAAGCCTGATCTTTATTTTGTAGGCGCTTAAATCATTATTTGGATATTAATAAAAACAAATCTTGGCTGATGCTAACCATCTGATTTCCTTTTTTTTTTTCCATTTTCTTTTGTTTTGTTTGTTTCTGCACACATTTTCTTTAGCTTGAAATGGCGATTGAAAACCTCCAAAAAAGCGAAGGGATCACTTCACACAAAAGCGGTTTACTCAACAGCCATGTAAGTGTGTGTCGATCTGGCGGTCTGCCCTGCCGCGCTCGTCACCCTCGTAGGCATCTTAAAAACCCGCGAGGACCGTGGCATGACACGAGAGATAGGGGCCACCAACCTAGAATTCCACATCGGGCAAAAATGCCTTTCCACAGCGTGAGGGAGAGGGGACCCGCTGCAGAGGTAGCTGCTGACGGCCCCCGCCCCTCCGGGTGGTGGTGGGACTGAAGTGCGTGATGTGCGTCACACAACTCCCCGAGCGCCCCGCAGGTGAGAGGCAGAATCAGTAAGGGACACGAAGAGAAGCCACGGCCACAACAGGAAAACCAGGAGCAGGGGCCCCGCCATGACTCTTAGCTGCGTTTCCTGTGATCAGCTCTTTGGTGGAAAAAACCCCAAAAGGCAATTTGAGGAAAGTGCAGACCACCAAATTGCTGCGGATTTTAACTGCACAGGGTCTTCCTCGCCTTCCTGCTGCGAAACCACGATGGCCGCTTCGGCGCCAGGAGGCGGCAAACTTCCCTGTCTGCGCAGCTGCGCGGGGCAGGACGGGACTGGCCGGGGTGACCAGCTGAGAGTCTCTGTCCCTAACCACAGCCCCATCCAGACTTGGGTCGTGGCCGACGTTCACACAGGGCACAAGGAAGGGCAGGGATTCTGGGCTGGAAGCCCAGCCCCGGAAGGTGCAGGAACTTCTAGGCTTCCAGATCGGCACAGGTGTGTTGTGCCACTCCGGGACACGTGACGGGGGCCTCGGAGGGCTGGCCTCTGGAAGGAAGAGCAGCCTCACGCCCACTGTCTTGAAGCAAAATAAGAGAGAGTCAGGACCCCACTGAGTGTCCCCCACCCCCAGGGCAGGTGGCTCATGGCCTTCCCGTCGCCGCTTCCCGCTGGACGGCTCGGCCCTACGGGCAGGTCGGGGGGAGGGAAAGGTCCGCAGAGCGCACTGGGGGAGAAGAGCCCTCGGTCTTCAACTCAGAAGGCAGCGTGGGCAGGGCTGCGGAATGGCACCCCCTGTTCAGTGGCCGTGACCTCGCCTGGCGGCCTAGGTGCCGGGTCAGGCAAAATACGGGGTGCAAGCCCTGGGCAGGCGGGGTTCCGCAGGAAATGTCTGGGGAGCTATGCACGAGCTCGTCTCTGGCTACGGGGCTGCTTCTGGCTGCTAACACCTCCCTTGGAAGGAGGCTGCTTTGACCGCTTCCCGGCAGGAAACCCGCCTGCGTCCCGTCTTCCTGGCCGCGCGTTGTTGAGTCTCGTTCTGGCATCAGGTGCTGATTTCTGGGCGACCTGGAATCAGAGAATAGAAATAAGGTCTTTCGTTCTGAAGAGTCAGCCCCACACCCCCGAGTGAGATCCACCTGCTGGAGCTCGTGAGAGCCGGGAGGGAGGGGACGCGTCCTGGCCCCTAGGCGGGGCTCACGAGGGTTGTCACCGCTGCCACCTGCAGCCAACGGTTGGCTAGTGTGGGGCGACGCTGGCCAGCCCAGCCCCAGGGCACAGGAGTCTGGTTGAGGGCTGGGCCCCCACGGACCCGTTTTCCTGGTGGCCTCCCAGCCGACCCTTGTTGGAAAGCCTGGGTTGCGCCATCCCATGCCCACCAGAGCTGTGTGGACTTGGGGAGCGGGAGTGACAAGGGTGCCTCGTCCAGGGAGCCGGGAACGGGAGCGCAGCGGGCAAGCAGGTGCGAGAAAGGGCACCCAGATCCCACCGAGTGTGCACAGAACCCCGCCGTGGAGGTTGAACTGGTTCCCGCGCTCTGCGGGGTTTGCTCTCGATGCGCGGCCGTGGCTGGGCCAGGCGGGAGACGCCCCGAGCCGGGGAGGCTGGACAGCGCCTTCCACACCCCGCCAGTGCCGGGCCGCCCTGAAGGGCCTGAGACCAGGGGCTGAGCAGGTGGAAGGAACTTCCCAACAGGGGTCGAAGGGCCCACAGGAGGAGGGGCGGGAGCTGTCTCTGAGCTGCGGGGGGTGGGGGGCAGGTCTGGTGGCAGGAAATGCAGCGTAGCTGTTTCTAAGGACGGAGGTGAGGCACAGGCCCTGGGAGGGGATCGCCCTCCCCACCCGAAGCCCGCGTGCCTGGCCCCAGGGAAGGAACTTGGGGTCAAGGTCCCCCGCCTTGAGCAGGGGAGGGGCCTGGGCTGCCCCTCAGCCAGATCTGCGCAGAACAACACCCCCCGACTCAGGGCCCCACCCCCACCGGTGGCTCACAGTCACTGTGACATGGCGGTGGCCATCGTCACTGCAGTAAACTCATTTCCAACCCCGGGAAGATGGCCTGCTCTTTGATTAGTGGTATTCGGATGATATGCCTTTTTTATTTTTTAATAGAGAAACAGCTTGTCCAAGATCCCTCGGCCATCAGTTGGTGGCCGGCCACAGGCCTGTGTGATGACCAGCGTCCCTCGCAGGCTGGGCTTGGGGCCTGGCTAGAATCGGCAGCTCCGTGGGGTGGGTCCCGTCTAGAAATGGCTCCAGGTGTTGTGGCAAATGCCCCTGACAGTTGTGGTGGTTGAGCTGCTGGATTCTCTCCCAAGTGAGGGCCCCCACTCCCTGCACCGGCTTGCTGGCCCCTCCCCAGCTCCACTGGGAAAGGCTGTTTCCCAGTGGGCATCACCCCCTGGCCTCTCCCGAAGGCCTGCCTCCTCCCTGCATGTCAGAAACTGAGCCCTGACTGCCCCCGATACCTGTGCCCCCGCCACGATCTCTTCTGCCTACCCTTGCTTCTCGCCCTCTCCCACCCCCCACCCCACCCCCACCGCCACCATCTCTCCCATGAAGTATCGCAGCCACCACCTAGCCAGCCCTCACCCTCGGCCCTCACCCAGCTGCCAGGCCCTCCTCACAGCAGCCGTGAGAATATCCTATGGAAACTGTATTCAGATCATGGCAGATCATCTCTGTTCAGAAGCCTTCAGGGCCCCTGTCACACTCCCCAGGAGAAGCCAGCATCATCGAAACAGCCTCTGGGGCCTGCCTGACCTGCCCTCTTCCCTGCCTCCCCTCCTCCCTCTCTCTCTGCAGCCACACAGGCCCTGCACCGTTCCTCCACTGCACCAGGCCCAATGCTGCCCCAGGGCCTTTGCACAGGCTGTTCCCACACTAGAATGCCTCCCCATGGCTCCCTCCCTCAGCTCCCTCAGGACTTGAGTCATTGGTCGCTTGAATCAGCTTCCCATTTGGTACCTACTCAATGCAAAAGAAATGAAAGTATAACCGATTGTTCTTTTGGGGGCTGCTAGTGAGGTCACTACTTTTTGGAGTTACTTCTACTTGGGAAGAACTTGTCAAGATGACCATGCATCATTGATGTCAATGTCAACATAACAACCCAAGTAAAGAGGGTCCACTTTTCATGTCACAACACTGGGCTGGGGGGGCGATGATGAGCCGAGGCAAGCATCCTTCCCCAGCACTTCGTACACGTGAGCCCCTGTGTCCCCGTACACGTGAGCCCCTGTGTCCTCATACATGTGAGCCACTCTGTGTCCTCAATACACGTGAGCCGCCCTGTGTCCCCGTACACGTGAGCCCCTGTGTCCTCGTACACATGAGCCGCCCTGTGTCCTCGTACATGTGAGCCACCCTGTGTCCTTGTACACGTGAACCTCTCTGTGTCCCCGTACATGTGAGCCAGCACCCCGTCCAGCCCATGGCCCTGAGTCTGGCCTAACCCTCCTCTCTGGCCCCAGAGGATTCCCTGAGAAGTGGCGCCCTGTGTTCCCCGAGCCTGGGGTGGCAGAGTAAAGTCTCCAGCCTCTGTACCCTAGCTTCCTGCACATGGGGACCCCTCTGTGCTTCGGGACCTCCTTCTTCTCTTGGTCTCTGTTTCTTGAGGCTCGTCAGGATCCGGGGGGTACACACGTGGACAGACCCGGCTCCATCTCTACCCACTGGGGCTTCTCATTCCCACGGGGGAGACAAGCATTAAATAAAATATACCTGCTGGCTCCAGAGGGGAAAGTTCTCTGAAGAAGACCTCAGGGTTCCAAGGACCCCCTCATACCCCCACACTTCCTCACCTGGAGCCTGAATGGGCCCCCCAGTCTCCCAGGGCCGTGGCGGGCAGGGGTGCTCGGGGCCGGGAGGAGCGTGCGCCCCGAGGTCAGAGGGCACTGCCACACTGGTGAGCTGCTACTCACTGACTTCGCAGCTATGGCTTCGGCGCCAGCACCGAGGGGAGAGAGGTGGGCACCAGAGTCTCCGCTGGGGCCTGACTTTCTGTGCGGCCGGTTCCTGCCCTTCTGACCCGAGGCTGAGCTCTGGGGGGGCAGCGACTTGCTGCAGATCCTCTCGGCCTGCCGTCTGGCCTGGGCACGGAACCCCACACACAAGCCTTTGCGGTATTGTGTTCCGTTCCCGTTTGCAGCCTCTCAGTCAGGGACGTGAGGATGTATCAGTCTGTCTGTGCGTCGTCCTGTGTTTTGTGTTGTTTTTATTTTCTCAGAAAGAAAAAAAAAAAGCTTTACTGAGAGAAAATACACAACCAATTCCAGAGTGTGTGGCTTTCAGGCCACTCCATCCCCCCACTGGCAGTAAGAACACAGACCCTTCAGTCGGCACACATCCCCTACCTCGGGGAGGAGGTGTAGCCACTAGCACCTGGCCTGAGAGCTCTAAGAAAGGGGCAGGACAGGAGATGCCACGGACCCCACCCTTGGGGAGGGGCCTCGCGGATGCCTCCTTAGCCGGAGCTTGGAACAGACTGGGCCAGCGCAGTGACTTCAATGGCCGCAGTGAGGTACCCACCATGGGAGCCTCATAACCCAGTTAAGAAAAGGAGCATCAGGAAGGAGTGTCTGGGAAATGGATCCTTTCATTCATCCCTTCCTTCTTGGCCTGTTCTAGTACAATCTGACCGCCCCAGGTTTCAGGAGTCCTGGTTGGGGCAAAGAAATAGCAGCCCAAGCCATAAGGCAAGAATTCAAGTAGAACTTTTATACTCAGTGACCAGGGGGTGAGACAGGAGGCCAAGCCCCAGCCACCTTCATCCTTAGAGTAATGATTTGTTCCTTAAGGGCAAGATGTCAAGAGGCGGATAGGCCATAAAGGCCAAGGTTGCCCTGTTAAATGTCAGGTGCTGTGCTGATGGGTTCCTCGAAGCTCTTCTCAATGCTCCTCTTTGTCTTGACGTTCCTGAAAGTTTAGGAGCCACTTGGCATCTAAATGATTATGAAGACACAACCCAATAGGTCTCAATCACATGCAGATTTTTAGAAATCAAGTCAAGGACCCTGAAAACCAGGTTGGAAATTGAAGGAACAAATACAGGCGTGGAGAGAAGCTCATAATAATAACGCACCCAGAATCTCTCAACCCCAAATCAGTGACTGTGGATGTGAATTTCCTCCCCACGTCAAGGGGGAGAACGTATGTGATCCTCATAATGGGTCCATGTTGGCATTTCGGGGACCTGGACCAACGTGAGCATGTCTGTCTTTATCCAGCTCCAGTGGCTGTTAGATAATTACGAAACCGCGGAGGGCGTGAGTCTCCCCAGAAGCTCTCTCTACAACCATTACCTGCGGCACTGCCAGGAGCACAAGCTGGACCCTGTGAACGCTGCCTCCTTCGGGAAGCTGATCCGCTCCGTTTTCATGGGGCTGCGGACGCGGCGGCTGGGCACCAGGTAGGTACCCGGGGATGCGGGGCAGGCCCACGCCCGCCCGTCCCCCTGCACCCTCTGTACAGACGTTGAGCTTTTGGAGGATGTGAGCTCCCTCGTGCCCGCGTGTCCTGCCCTGCGTGCCTCTGGGTGAACTTGGATTTGTTCTGAACTGGCGGCAGCATGGGCCTGGCCGGCCCCGGGTGTTGGCCGTGGGCCGTCTCTCTCCTGGTGACACAGGCTCGGCTTCACCACCCTCTCTTTGTTTAAAATTTTCCTTAATAAGGTTTTCTTAAAAAGCAGCCTCTGGATGACCTAGGAGAGTTGGATTTATCATTTCGTGGTGCTCTCCTCCATGCCTGCACCAACCCGCCAGCAGCCAGGGACTGTCATGCGCCATAAACTTTCCAGGCACCAGTCCGACACCCCTCCCGCTAGAAAACAGCGGCCGTACTCTGCTCAAAGGGGGCGGCCCAGAGCACACAGAAGGCTGCCTCCTGCGCGGCCCCTGTCTGTGAAATCACACGTGGGGCCGGGGGCACACGTGCACCCTCAGAAGCTGGCCTCCGGCCAAGAGAAGGTTCTCTGCCATCCTCTGACCCATAACAGAACATCCTGACGGAGCTTCAGTGGACGGAGGGGGCAGGAAGGGGAAGGGGAGCGACCCTGGTCTCTGGGGACACAGCCACCACCGCCCGTGGGGCCTCTCGAAGGCTCATGCAGGGCCTCCACCGTCAGTGTGTCCTGGACGCTTGGCCTCAGGACCCGGCTTTTCTCCCCCTGCTTCCCCCCCCCCCACCAGCTAAGCTCTGACGTCTTCTAGAAAGGGGCTCTCCTGGGGCGCAAGGGTGGCTTAGTCGGTTAAGCATCCAACTTTCGCTTAGGTCATGATCTCGCGGTTCGTGGGTTCGAGACCCGCGTCGGGCTCTGTGCTGACTGCCCGCTCAGAGCCTGGAGCCTGTTTCTGTCTGTGACTCCCTCTCTCTCTGACCCTCCCCTGCTCACGCTGTCTCTCTCTCTCTCCTAGAAATAAATAAAATATTAAAAAAAAAGAAGAAGAAGAAAGGGGCTCTCCTAAGGAGCCCCTCTGATCTGTCTTCTTAACCAAAATGGCTAAAGCTCTTGGATCATCATGGCTCCCATAATAAGCTCTGATAGTGTTTCCCACAACTGCACCTTTTCCAAATCATGTTGTTAGATGATGTGGGTGGGGGGAGGGGAGGTGGTGGTGGTGGTGGTGGGGATGGGGGTGATGGGAATGATGGAGATGATGGTGGGGGGGTGAAGGGGATGATGGTGGGGGATGATGGGGATGATGGAGATGATGGTGGGGGGGTGATGGGGATGATGGTGGGGGGGATGATGGAGATGCTGATTGTGGTGGTCACGGTGATAATGATGGTGGTGACGATGATGATGGTGGTGGTGATGGTGTTGCTGGTGGCGATGGTGGTGATGCCGGTGGTGGTGAGGATAGTGGTGATGGTGGCGATGGTGGTGACGATAGTGACGTGTGAGGGTGGCAGTGATGATGATGATGATGATGAGGCCATATTGGGTCAAACAAAGCTAGGCTGCTTTTCCCATTGCAGGACTTCTCAGAGCCATTATAATACTTAAATGCAAGAGGGGAACGTCCAGGAGGGGGGCAAGTATAGACCTTCCTAAACCCCTCCAATTGTGGAACAACCATTCCCATATGGTCCAGAGGACACTGAACCTGAGAACCCAAAGTGGAGGGCCGAGACCCGGCACCTGTCCCGTCACTCGGGCCATCTGCGAGGACCGCTGACCTTGAGTGCTTGGTTTCTAGGGGCAACTCCAAGTACCATTACTACGGGATCCGCCTGAAGCCGGACTCGCCCCTGAACCGGCTGCAGGAGGACACCCAGTACATGGCCATGCGGCAGCAGCCCGTGCACCAGAAGCCCAGGTGAGTGACGCGGCCACCGCCGGCCCAAGGCCGACTCGCTGCCCGCACAGGGCCAGGTCTGCTCCGCTTTGGGAACGGACAGAGAGGTGTTTCTCAGCATTGAGTGCACAGGTAGGAGGGGGCTCTCCGAACCGTGATGGAGAAAACAAATCCGTGTCAGCCTCTGGCTCCGGCGTCCCAGGAGAGCCAGGGCACAGGAGGCTGGGGACACAGCCTCGTCCAGCTCACAGCCTTCAGCCTTTCTCCTTTAAAAAAAAAAAAAATAGACATTATTTTTTAGAACAGTTTTAGGTTCACAACAAAATTGGGCAGAAAGTGCAGTGTTTTCCACATGACCCTGTCCTCAACGACATCTGTGAGCCTACACCACATCGGGCACATCGTTACCACCTCAAGGCCAGGCTCCACGCTGGGGCTCACCCTCGGGGCTCCCTTCTAAGGGGTTCGGACAGAGTAGTTTCCCCGCCCTCACAGTCCCCTGGGCCCCGCCTTCTGACCCCGCCCTCCCCTGAGGTTGCCATAGTTTGGCCTTTTCCAGAAGATCATAGAGCTGGGATCATAGATCTTTAATTGCCAACAACAGGGAAAAAAAGAGAGTGTGTTGAAAAAGGGCCCGAGAAGCCTGGAGAAAGAAGTCTATTACATACTTAAGTGGCTGCTTCTCCCGGACATTTTGATCCAATGGCTGGAAAGGCCTGGTCGTTTTCTGGAATGTTCTCATCTCTATCCATCATGTACCTACTCATCTTTTAAGGCAGGGGTCAGCACACTTTTCTGTAAAGGTGAGCTCTGCCGTCGTAGCATGAAACCCATAGACAAGTGGGCGTGGCCGTGTGCCAATAAAACTTTATTCACAGGCAGCTCCTTCCGCCCACGGGTCCGGGTGGGTCTCCAGTAAAACCACCTCATTTACCCGCCCCCCCCCCAAAAAAAAACACCTTTATTCACAAAACAAAGAGCACAATTGGCCCTCCACAGCTGTGATCCACAGACCCCTGGTTCAGGTGCTACTCACATGTCCCCTCCCTGGCAGCCTCGCAGTCGCCTCTCCTTCCCTGCTTCCCTCCACCCCCGGCTCCTCTCCGCAGCGTCCAGGCTCCTCCGGGGCAGGGACCGTGCCCCCTCACCTCCACGTGCATCATCATTCCTTAGCCAATCTGTGTGTGGCTAAAAACCTGCTTTAGCAGCTCCAAGGCCATCCCAGTGACCCCATCCCACATTGTTCGACTGTGGGAGTTGGAGAAGAGAATCTCTAGAACGTTCTCCAGGAGCCACCAGATAAAAGAGTGGAACCAGCAGTCCATCGTGTACCTGCTTGTCCACAGACATAGACTCCATCGCTTCTTCTTCCTGTTTGGCCTGGCACCTCAGACCCCTGGGACTCGCTACGCCAGGCAGTGTATGGTTTTAGGGCCTGCTCCGCGCCTCGTGCCCTTTACACGTGGAGCCACCGCGAGTCAGGTGGCCTGCACGGTCCTGGGGGCATTCTCCATCCTCACGGGAAGCTTGGCCCCTTCTCCCAGCCGGAGTGGCGTCCCCCACCCTTCCCGCCACATACTGTCACTACCCCACAGCGTCCCGCCGGGCTCAAGGGACACAGGGCCCTGGGGAGCCCAGTCTGCTGCCAGGACAGACTGGCCCCCGCTTTCTGGCTCAAGGCCAAAGGAAAGTCCCAGAATTTCCTTTGTGATTCTATTGAAAGAAGTTCACTTATCTTCTAAGAGAGAAGTATGGGGCAGGGGGGAAGATATGCGCGCGCACACACACACACACACACCCTGTGTACCCCTCAGCAGATGGGTGGACACGCAGATGTGTCCCTCCAGACCCTGTTGTTATTCAGCAGTAAGAAGGAAGGACGCCCTGACCCTGCTACAACATGGATGGACCGTGAGGACATTGTGCTCAGTGACAGAAGCCAGACACAAAAGGACAGATACTGTAGGGTTCCACCCACAGGGGGTCCCCAGAGGAGTCCCATCCAGAGACAGAGAGTAGGTGGTGGGACCCAGGGGCTGGGCAGGGGGCAAGAAGTCGGTGTTTCACAGGGACAGAGCCTCAGTTTGAGGAGATGGAAAGTTCTGGAGACGGATGGTAGGGGTTGACACCCCTGAACCGCGCACTTAGAGATGGTGAAGAGGATACACTTTAGGTTACGTGTATTTTAGCACAAGGTTTTAAAACTCATGCCCACACATCCATACACACGTCCCCAAACTGAATCCTGCTCAGCTCTCTGCTCCCTGGGCGCCTGCGGGCAGTGCTGCTGGGGCCTCATGGTGGCCCTGTGTCCCCTGTCCAGGTACCGGCCAGCTCAGAAGACGGACAGCCTCGGGGACGGTGGCTCGCACGGCGGCCTGCACAGCACCCCGGAGCAGGCCATGGCCGCCCAGAGCCAGCAGCACCAGCAGTACATAGGTGAGGGCCCCCCCGCCCAGCGCAGGGCCTTCCGGAAGCTCCGGTGTCCACTCAGCTCCTCGAGGTGCCCATGGGTTTCACCTGCAGGGTGCTTGAAACCGTTTTCTTGTATGATACCATTTTAATTACACGGAGGTGTTCTAGATCAACCTTTACAGCCTCCCCAAGATTTCAGAGTAATCAGCAGACGCCCCCCAAATTAGCATGCGAGGTGACTGTCAGAAGAATGAACACATGCTGAAATGCCCGTCATAAGGAAGACAGCATGTGTGTTCAAGCCTGTTGGCTCAGGACTTGGCTGCCGTCCTCAGTTCCCTTTGCTTCCCCAGAGCATTTAGGGGGCTTGGGGCTCCACCGGGCTGCCTGGCCCTCCCCTGGGAGACCCCCTTCCCCAGCGGCACCTCTGCTGCCCAGAAAGCACCTAACTCACAGCCCAGCCGGGGCGGGGGACTTGCTGAGGTCAGTGTCCAAGGCACCCACACTGAAGACAGCAGCGGCCTTCAGCGATTGTTAGTGTATTTTTGGAGCCCAGACAGAACCCTCTGGAAGTCACTAGGGACGGCCGGGGACGGCCGCCTCCTCAGGTCCACCGCCCCGGGTGGTCCCCAGGCTGGGGTGACAGGAGCACTCGCTGAGCGCCAGGCCCTGGGCTCAGCGCTTGCCTGTGTCAGCGTACTTGCTGTCGCTGGGAGAGGACAGTGCTGTCCCCTCTGTCCCTGAGAAAACCAAAGCTTAACAGCAGTGAGGCTCAGGGCTGAGGAGCGGCCACAGGCACGCGGGGCAGGCGTCTGCCAGCACCCGGGCCTCGTGCTGCTCCGCGAACCCCCTTTCCTCCCCTAGATGTGTCCCACGTCTTCCCGGAGTTTCCTGCGCCTGACCTGGGCAGCGCCCTGCTGCGGGGGAGCGTCACGCTGCACGACGTCAAGGCCCTGCAGCTGGTCTACCGGCGGCACTGTGAGGTGACCGCCCCACACCCGGCCCAGGACACAGACGGCCCCCACCCCATCCCACAGAGCTGCCAGACTCTCAGACACCACAGAGTGACCCGGGGTGACCCAGCGGGGCAAGAGCAGCCCCCCTGCTTCCTGTAGCCAGGAAGTAGATAGGATTTCCACTTTGTTTTTTTATATTTAATTTTTTTGAGAGAGAGAGAAAAACGAATGAGCGGGGGAGGGGCAGCGAGAGAGGGAGAGAGAGGACCCCAAGCAGGCTCCTCACTGTCAGCGCAGAGCCTGATGCAGGGCTCGACCCCACAAACCGTGAGATCATGACCTGAGCTGAAATCAGGTGTCGGGTGCTTAACCCACTGAGCCCCCAGGCGCCCCCCAGGTTTCTGAACCGTGACCTGTCCCTTCATTCTGTCCCTTCTTGTGGTCTCTCTGCATTTCCAGGGACCCCACTGCGGCTCCCAGCAGGCTGCCCGCTTGCCCGTCCCGACGACGGGGCCGGGTGCCCTTTCTCACGCGCGCGGCTGTGTGTCTGACCCGCCACGTTTATTCGCAGGCTACTCTGGACGTCGTGGTGAGCCTGCAGTTTCACTACATCGAGAAGCTGTGGCTGTCCTTCTGGAACTCGAAAGCCGCCTCTGGTGACGGCCCCGCCTCTCTCCCTGCCAGGTACCCCACTGTCCCTGCCCAAGCCTGGCCGCTCGTTTCCCAGGACCCCAGGCTTAACCTGCAGGCCGTGGACCCCTTTCCAGAACGGGTGCTTAGAGCCCCCTGTGTGTGTGTGTGTGTGGTTTTCACCCTGCGACCATGGCCCATGGTTGGTGTTGCCCCTTCCGCTAGTTCATGAGGGGCCGTAGGGGACCCTGAGAGGCCCAAGTCGCCCGGCCACAGGCAGGGAGGGGCAGTGCGGGCCCGCTGGGGACTTGGACGCGGGGCCCGGCGCAGTCCTGTGGCCTCCCGCCCCCCCCACAGGCCGCGGCTCACCCCGTCCCCCTCCCCCGCAGTGACGGAGAGCCCGAAGCCACTGTCCTCCCGAAGGACAAGCTGGTGTCACTGTGCAAGTGCGAGCCCATTCTCAAGTGGATGCGGAGCTGCGACCACATCCTGTACCAGGCCCTGGTGGAGGTCCTCATCCCCGACGTGCTGCGCCCGGTGCCCAGTAAGCCGCTCGCGGGCCGCGCGCTCGCCCTCCCGCCCCTCGTGCTTCCCCAGCTCAAGGCTCCGGGGACGCGCGCCTCCTTCGGGCCACCGCCTGCCGGCCCCCGGTGACACTCCAGCCAGAGGAGGTTCCCCAGAGGGCGGGGCCGAGGTCACAGGACAGACCTGCCCCAGTCTGCAGCTTTGCTAAAACCCCGCTGGGGCTGGGGGCCTTCCCAGGAGCCCTGCCCCCCCGCATGCGGCCAGGCCGCGGGGCGGGCATCCCGGCCCCCTCAGGCCCTCCCTGTGGGGCCCCCAGCGTCCTGAGGGAGGAGGAGGAGGAGGAGGAGGCAGGGCCCTGAGGCCTCGCTCCTGATGAAGGACCGCAGGGGGCACCACGGGTTACCTGGCGCGGACCTAGCAATACCTGTGCCTATCGGCCCAACGGAAAGTGTCTCTCTCAGTGAGCCGGCGCTGCTTTTGTGCCCAAAAATGGGGACAGCAGGACGATCGCCTTTCTCCCCCGGTCGCCTGCCCGAAACCGCTCGTTGTGGCCCGCGCTTAGTCTCCGTGTTAACGGTCGAGCTGCGGTGTATTTGTAGCGTTTTATTCTAACAGTCTTACGGGTTTCGCGTTGCAAGGCATCTCAGTAGCTTCAGAAGCGGGTAGAACATACGTACCTGTGCGTGTCCGAGGGCCTCTCCTCCGTGCTGCGGGCCGTCCGGGGCACTACGGGGGGCTGGGCCCGGCCCCCGCCCACTCGGTGCCAGGAGCTCCCCCAGCTGTGAGGACCACAGAGGTCTGCACACACCCCGTGTCCCCCGGGAGCAGAGTCGCCCTCGGTGAGAGCCGCGAGCACAGACAGGCAGGTGCCGAAGGTGAAGGCAGCGGGCGGCCCTCACTGCTGCCCAGCGCCGCCCGCGCGGAGCGCCCTGCCTTCCCCTGGTCCCTCGTCCCTGGAGCACTGCTGCCTCTTCTCCTGCGCTGCTCACTCTTCCAGGTTCCCTGCGCGCGTGTCTCTTCCTGAAGCTGGTCCTGACGGGCAGGCCTGCCTGTCTCACCGTGTCGCGGCTCGTGTCTCCCAGGTACCTTGACCCAGGCCATCCGTAATTTTGCCAAGAGCTTGGAAGGCTGGCTGACGAATGCCATGAGAGACTTCCCACAGCAGGTCATCCAGACCAAGGTAACCACTCCGCTGTGACTGTGACGGGAGCGGCTGGCGGGCGGGGGGGCTTCAGGGAGGGGCCCCTGTCCCCTGCCCCAGGGAAAGCAGGCCACCCCTGTGGGCCTGAGGCCCCTGAGTCCTCCCAGGAAGCCCTGAGGCTGCTGGCGAGGCAGGACCAGCGCTAGCAGGGAGGGGCACGACAGATGTCATTTGCTGGGATGCATTTGGGTCAGTTCGGAACAGATAGGATGATTCCAAGCCCATCATAGGAGGGAGGGTCCAATCTAGGCCACAGATCAGGACCTGAAATGCGCCGGCTTGGCCTCCATGCACAGAAGAGAGTGCCTGCCTGGCGCTCTCGCAAGCGGCCCTTAGAGACCTGCGTACGGAAGCCGTCAGGCCCCCAGCACCTGGCCTCCCTGACCCTGGAACTCTGTGAGACCAGCAGCTCCCGAACTTCAGGCTGCGTAGACTCGCAGGCCCCGCCCCACAGAGCCTGATCCCATGGCCCCCAGGAACCCGTCCCCCCAACCCCAGCCACTCCAGAGAGCCAGAGGAATTCTGGGGGCATAAGCCTGCTCAGTCCCGATACCTTGGCATCTTCTATAGAGGCCCAGACGCCTTGGTGAGGTTTCTGTCCTTCGTTCAGTCTCACTCTTCGGGTCCTTGAGACTGTCCGAAGCAGGGGTGGGGTGTCCCTCTCCCCTACTCCCTCCCCCTGCACTGACCCTGAGCCCAGTGCCCTCCCAGGAAAGGACAGCTTACCTTGCGGCTCCCTCGGCCACAGGTGGGCGTGGTCAGCGCCTTCGCACAGACCCTGCGCAGATACACGTCCCTCAATCACCTCGCTCAGGCCGCCCGGGCCGTGCTCCAGAACACTTCTCAGATCAACCAGATGCTCAGTGACCTCAACCGCGTGGACTTTGCCAACGTGCAGGTGACTCTCCGCTGTGACCCCCCCACCCCCACCCCCGCGGCCCGGGATGGGGCACGGAGCCCCGGCCGCAGATCGGCGACGCCGTGTGTGACTCTCTATCCCGCGGGCCCAGCCTTCCAGGCTCGAGAAAAATGCACAAAAGCACAAAATTCAACCCACAGCAAAACCCAGTGTGCGTGAGGACAGGCTCAGTGTGGAGGCCCCCCTGCAGCCCGCCAGCCCCCACTCCCTGATCCCACGGGCCCCCCACACCTCGGTTCATGCTCTGAGAATCTACCTCCCATTGCCGTTTTCGGGCTCTCTCCTCTGGGCTCCGAGCGGCACGGGCTGTGCGCCTGCGGGTCTGGCGCTGTCCCCGAGTCCCTCCACGACACACACAAACACGTTTGGGAAGGGGATCGCTTGAGAGTGAGACACCACAAAGACCCGGCCTGTCGTCTGACCCTCGGGCCCGGGAAGCATGGGTTTAAGCACTTAGGAGCCCGGGCAGCTTCCCTCTCTGGACGTCTGTCCGTCCGTGTCAGCCCCCATCCTGGGCGGCAGCGGGAGGGGCCCAGGGCTGGCGCCGCCGTGGGGGGCTGCCCTGACCCGCCGCCCGCGCCCCGCAGGAGCAGGCCTCGTGGGTGTGCCAGTGCGAGGAGAGCGTCGTGCAGCGCCTGCAGCAGGACTTCAAGCTGACGCTGCAGCAGCAGAGCTCCCTGGACCAGTGGGCGACCTGGCTGGACGGCGTGGTCACCCAGGTCCTGAAGCAGCATGCGGGCAGCCCCAGCTTCCCCAAGGCCGCCCGGCAGTTTCTTCTGAAATGGTCCTTTTACAGGTAAGCCCGGCTCGGCTTCTGGAAGAACTCGGGACGACAGGGCTGGGGGTCTGGAGCCGGAGCTGCCTGCCCGGCAGGGATGCCATGTTGATAGTCTCGGAGGTGAGCGGCCTGTGACCGTGCTTTCCAGACGTTTGCCCTCCTGTGGTTGTCGGGAGGCGCCAGGAAGAAGGCAGTGGGTGCAACATAAGCAGCTCACAGGGTGGGGAAGGGGGCCCACGGAGAGCCCACCAGGGACCCAAAAGCCCAGCTGTCCTGTTCACCTTGGGGGCTTGGCCGTACAGAGCCGAGAAGGTTCCGAGGAGAAAACGTCCCAGATCCCAAGCCAGCCCACTCTGTCCACTGACCCCACCTTTGCGTCCACAAACGTTCAAGCGACCTTTGCTTTCCACGCACCGATTTGGACACGGCAGTCAGCACGGGCTGACCCTTTGGCTGCCTTTGCTCAGTGGCCTCAGACCCACAGCCCACTGAGGCCACGAAAGGAAAAGCGTTAAGTAGAATCTGTCATCAGCTGCTGTCACTGACTCACTTGCACACCCCATCCTTCAGCCCGTTAAAAAATAAAGGGCCACGTTAAAATGTCCAGAAGTTGATTTGGACATTTCACATCGGGTAGCCCCAGCCCCAGGCGGTCGGTGAGCGAGGGGAGGGGTGTTTGCAGAGAATTTGCGGGAGCAAAGCGAGGACGTGAGGTGACTGACTGTAGCTTCAGGGCGGCGGCTCTGCTGTAATGAGAGCCCGGCATCCGTGGCGCCTTGTTGCCAAGGTTCACTCTCGGATTCCGGCCTGGACGCCGGCTTAGCTCTGGTTCGCTGGGGCCACGGGGCGTCAGAGCCCCTGCCGCGAAGGCCCCCTGTTTGATTACGGTCAGGGGTCCACACCCGTCTCCTCTCCTGCCTTGTCCTTTCCTGTTTCTTTGCGACACCAGCGCTGAGACGTAAGCTCTGAGGTGGGGCGTTTGGGGGCCGGGGCCAGAGGTTTGGGTCAGGTGCAAGTTGTCTAATTCCTTCAGATCAGGGGTCGCTTTTCTATAAAGGATCAGTAAGTATTTCCAGGAAATAAATCAGCTATTATTGGCACACGCCCTGTAACGAACACGCATGGCTACGTGGCAATAAAATGTTATTTACGGGCACTGAATTGTGAAATTTCAGGTACTTTTTCATGCGTCGTGAAATATAATGCTGCTTTTGACTTTGTTTCCAACCACTTAAAAATAGAAAAACCATTTTGAGTTCGCAGGCAGTACTCGACGGGCAGTGGGCTGTATCTGGTCCGGATTTGGGGCCCTTGTTTGCCAGCTCTTGCTGCGGCCCAAAGAGGCGGAAGCGCCCTGAAATTCTGTCTTGTTTTAGGCCCCAAACCCCTGACTGAGAAGAGAAGGGTGGATGGGAGGGAATCCCGGGAAGTGGAGGGAGGCCGCCGGCCGTGGGCGAGTCAGTGAGGGCGCCGCGGTGACCGCAGGCCGCGCCCTCCGGCTTGTGTCACACAGGGACACAGGGTCCTGTTGCCACGGTCTCTGGCTCCCGCCCGCTGGCACCCCCCCCCCCCCGCCACCGCCGGGTCACGCCGGACTCTGGGGTGGCCCAGGTGGCTGGCAGGCCCCTCGTGGGCCCACGGGCCCCCCGAAAAGCCTGGCTCGACTGCTTGCCCGCGACGCCCTGCTCCCAGAAGTTTCCCAGCCCCTGTGTGCCCATCCCTCAGCTCCATGGTGATCCGCGACCTCACACTGCGCAGCGCCGCCAGCTTCGGCTCCTTCCACCTGATCCGCCTGCTCTATGATGAGTATATGTTCTACCTGGTGGAGCACCGCGTGGCGGAGGCGACAGGGGAGACGCCCATCGCCGTGATGGGGGAGGTGAGCCCCCCCGACCCCCGCCTGGGGACCCTGGGAGGCCTGGGCGAGCAGACGCGCTTGCCTGGGCCGGTGGGTGGGAAAGAGCTCACGGGCTGGGCCCAGCTGACCCAGGTTCAGACCTGGCTCCTCTCGTCTCAAGTTCCCGCCTCTGAAGCGGGACCTCGAATACCCACCCGCGGGGTCTATGGTTGTAAAATGCATTTACCATTTACCATTCTAGCCAGTTTGGGTTTTTTTTTTAAGTTTATTTATTTATTTTGAGGGAGAGAAAGAGAGACAGCAGGTGAGGGGCAGAGAGGGGGGAAGAGAGAGAATCTCAAGCAGGCCTCATGCTGTCAGTGCAGAGCCCAACACGGGGCTCGAACCCATGAACCGTGAGATCATGACCTGAGCCGAAGTCGGCTGCTTAACCGACTGAGCCACCCAGGCGCCCCCACCATTCCAGCCATTTTAAAGTGAACACTTCAGTGACATTCAGTACATTAAGAGTTGTGCAAACACCACTTCTGCGTAATTCCGGAAAGCTCCGTCACCCCAAAGGCAAGCCCCATCCCCGTCGGCAGTCACCCCCGTCCCTCTGCCCAGAATCTGGCAACCAGTGCCCCCCTTTCTGCGAGGATTTGCCCGTTGTGGACGTTTCACACGCACAGATCACACACAATGTGGCCTTTTGTGTCCAGCACGTGTCCCCCAACACGATCTGTCTGCGGTGCAGCCCTGTTATGGCGGCTGTCATTGCTTCACTCCTCCTGTGGCCAAACGATGTCCCACCGTGTGGCTCTGCAGCGCTGCCCTTCACCCACCCCGCGTGTGAACACACGGGTCATTTACTGTGGGGCTGCTGTGAACGCTGGGTGCACCTTCTGGTTTGAATCCCTGTTTTCGCCTCGTTGGGGCACTTTCCTGGGAGCGGAGTGTGGGTCACTCAGGAAGTGGTGGCTCTTAGGAAGAAAGGCGGTGACGCTTACAGAGCTTTTAACACAGAAGCCTGTCACCACTCGGAGGCCACAGTCCCTGCCCCCTCGGTGGCCAGAGCAGTCAGCACCCCCTCAGCCCTCCAGCGGTGGCCAGGCCAGAGGGGACACACCCAGCATCAGGAGAGGACACGCAGCATCAAGAGGGGACACACAGCTTCAGGAGAGGACACCCCCAGCATCAGGAGGGGACATGCAGCATCAGGAGGGGACACGCAGCATCAGGAGGGGACACACAGCATCAGGAGAGGACACCCCCAGCATCAGGAGGGGACTGCAGCATCAGGAGAGGACACGCAGCATCAAGAGGGGACACACAGCATCAGGAGAGGACACCCCCAGCATCAGGAGGGGACTGCAGCATCAGGAGGGGACACGCAGCATCAGGAGGGGACACACCCAGCATCAGGAGGGGACACGCAGCATCAGGAAGGGACACCCCCAGCATCAGGGAGGGGACATGCAGCATCGGGGGGGACACCCCCAGCATCAGGAGGGGACACGCAGCATCAGTACCACCTCGTGTGGGAACCACTGTCATTTCCAAGCTAAAGCCTGTTTGAACTGTGGGAGGGGCGGTGGCTGACACTCACAGGACCAGGCCCCCCTGCGGAGGCCCCTGACCCCCCCTTCTCTCTTCCAGTTCAACGATCTCGCCTCCCTGTCGCTGACGCTGCTCGACAAAGGTGGGTGTGTCCGTGGCTTTTCCCTGCGGCTCTTCCTCCCACCCCTGCGCTAGCGAAATGGAGGCAGCCCCTGGGCCCTGGGGTGGGCTGGGGGCCTGTGAGCTGCCCCGGACAGGCAGGGGCAGTCTTGGCGGCAGCAGTGATGCTCAAGTGGCCCTGGCTACCCCCTCCCCCCACCGAGGCTGTGAGGAGCAGCCTCCCCCTCGCATGGGCACCTCGGGGCGACGTCTAGTCCCGTTCCCCAGGCACTTCCACATGGGGCCCCAGAGCAGGGCCACAGCCTCAGCCTCCGGCAGCCACTTGCCCCCACCCCACCCCATTCCCCGCCCCGCGGGGTGCGGACACCAGCGGCTGAGGGGACCTGCCAGGAATGTGACCCAGCAGTGACCGCCCGTCCCGGGGGCACTGCAGAGTGGGGGCCCTGGCCCAGCCGTGCCTGCGCACTTCTCTGAGAATGTGCCGCTCTCTCCCTCCCTGCTGCACCCCCACCCACATCCCTCATCCCCGACGCTCACCCTGCAGATGACCTCGGCGAGGACCGCGGCGGCGAGGCTGACCCCGACGCCCACAGCCTGGGCGAGCCGCTGGTGAAGCGGGAGCGCGGCGACCCGAACCACTCCCTGCAGGGCATCTAGCTGGACGGTGCCTTCCCTGGGCTCCAGACCGGGCCCCTCGGCTCCGCCGCCACAGTGCCTCTTAGGTGACGTGACCTGACCCCCCAGGGCACCGGCGCACCCTCATGGGACTCGCCGCTCCTCAAGAAAACCATTGGTAAACACGGCCGAAGGTGATGGCAGGCTCCCGAGTGCCCGAGCCGCTCACCTGGTCTCCCTGGGTCATCTTCTCCTGGACGCTCTCACTGTCTCCTCTGTTGACCGTGAGCTCTGGTCCTCCACGCACCCCCGCCTGAGGGCCGCACGCCTCGGCGCCTCCACCTTGGGCTTCTCTGTTCCGCCGGTTCCAATTTCCACCGTTATTTTTTAAAAGTCAGATCCCAGGAGGGAGGGGATGTCCTGCAGCTGCCGAGCCACCCTGAGCCCACCGGTGTCCACGGAGCCCCCGCCCTGGCGCCCGCTGGGGGGAAGGGACCATCTCAGCGCTGTGCCCGTGGCCGATTGCCGAGTCCCTGGGCCACTCACAGCCCACAGCCCCGTGCGTCTCCAAGAACAAGTCACGGAAACGGCCGGCTCATGCCGAGACACCGTGGTGTCTTTAAGAATCAAAACCATATGTTTTATCAGCCACTAGAAGGATTTGGGTTCTGTCCAAGTTCACAGCCAACATCAGGCCAAACTGCTGGGTCTGGAATGAGTTTGTTCCGAGGGGGCTGGGTGGTCGGTGTTTCTGTGGTGCCTTCAGAGGGCCAATCTGCCTGGCTCCCGCTCCACAGAATCTTCTGGAATGCCTGCCTTTGAACTATCAATCCTGGAGCACTTTGACCCCGGGCAAGTCCCATCTTGAACTTCTCAAAGTAGAAACTCTTCTTTGAGTTAAACGAATCCCCGAGGACTTGCACGTCCTTGAACTTTGAACACTCCGGATCTGTATCCGTCATAACACGTTGCACTTGGTTAGCTCCGTGCAGGAGTTCCGCCCCCAAACCAACCGCAAAGAAGAAAGACAAACCTCTGGTCTAGGAAGCGCCATCTTACAAAATGCAATAGTTTCTTCTTTGGGAAATACGTTTATATCAATAGTTTTGTGCTCTACTTGTTATTAGAACGTTTCTTATGAACATGTATATTGCAGTATATTCAGTCCCCAATATTTTTTTCTCACACAGAAGGTACTGATGTAAACTCACGTGGCCTTTAAAAACCTTCCTTCCTCGGCCCACGTCAGGTGTGCGGACAGGTGCGGAGGGGAAGACGAGAAAGACAGGCGCCTATTTTAGAAGCCGAAAAGTCCATGACGATCACAATGTTTGTCTGCTTTTACGGTTCAAGACTTAGATGGAATCAGACAGAAAGAATGTCTTTAAAATATATATCTTCTCTCCTGGGAGACATTTACGCTCCCGGTTCACGGACTGTGGTGGCTTTTCTTGCACATGCGCTAAGCGGTACAAACGGGGTTTCCGCCTCGGCTCCACGAGGAGCGACAGAGCTGACGGTAAAGACACGAGCCTTGCAAGCCCATTCTTGTTTCCCACTGCAGTGAACACACTGAGTCACGATCCGCACGATCCGCACACACGCCTGCCCTCCTACACACACACACACGCACACACACACTCCGGCATCCACACCCCTGCCCCTCCTACACACACACACACACACACACACACACTCCGGCATCCACACCCCTGCCCCTCCTACACACACACACACACACACACACACACACACACACACGGTGGTCCTAAAGGATAGGTCCCCTGCCTTAGATTGCCAGCCCAGCCAGGCTCATGCCCTGTGAGGCTCAGAGGAGAAGTAGTGGCCTCCAGCACCTTCTTCTTGGCTTGCTGGGGGGTGTTCCAGAAGGAGCAGTTTCCCTGAGCCTCATTTAGCAGGGCCAGCCCCGGGCCAAAGATAGCAAGGAAACAATTCCCAGCCCAGGATGGTCAGGACTATTTGCAAGCAGGCCCGACTCAGTCGGACACGGCAGCACAAAGCCCAGCTCCAGCTCCGACCAAACCGCCAGTCATCCTCGGGGCGTATCCAGTACCGTTGGGGGAGGAGGGGCCGAACTTGGGGATTCCCTAAGAATCACTGCATGAACTTACCCTACAGTGGCCAATCCTGGGCCCCATCCACAGAGGTGAGTTACCTGGTGAGTTGCCGTGAGGGCTGGAAAGCTGCGTTGTCTGGCCCACCCCTCTCGGGGACTCTGACACAGGGGACTGGGGGCCTGGGAGGAACCTCTGCAGAGGAGACTCACAGGGGCAGAAGCCAGGATGGAAAGACGTTCCAGAAGCGTGGACTTGGTTCCTGGTCAACCCCTAAAGTTGCTCCTCCGTGCCAGGCCAGTGTCCCCACCCCCTGTGCCCCGGAGATGCTCAGCCCAGGCCCCTCTGTCCCAGGTAGAGGCCCTGAGGCCCCCAGGTGACACTGAAATCGTCCACTACCTCCCTGGGCTGGGACCCCCACGGCCTGCAGCCAGCTCAGTGCTCTGCTGCCAGCATCTTGAAATTCTTAATAAGTTTTTGAACCAGGGGCCCACGCTTTCATTTTGCACTGGGCCCTGATGCAAATTTGGTGCCCAGCCGTGGGAACCCCCAGGACGCAGCCATGTGGCCTCCCCTGGAGCTGGTGGCCGGCCCGGCTCACCCCATGTTCACGGTCTCTGGCGCTCTCCAGCCTGACCAATAAACAGTCAGCAGGTGTCTTGTGTGTTACGCGTACCCCATACCATATTCGTAAAGAAGCTGGAGGAAAGAAAACGTAGCTAAGGAGATCACGAGGAAGAGGCAATCCATTTGCAGACTGTCCTGTATTTACCGCTGCACATCTGCATCTAAGTGGACGCACACAGCCCAAACCCACGTCGTGGTTGAAGGGCCCCATCCCCAGCCTCAGGGCATTGTGAGGTGTCAGTAAGTGAACACTTAAAAAGCGCTGGAGTAAACATTCTCAGCCTCGGCACCGGGCACACTCGGAACCAGATCACTGTCACTGGCAGGGCATCTGGGGCGCAGCAGCCCTGGCCTCGCCTGCTCTATGCCAGGGGCACCTTCCCTCCCCTGTTGTGACAACCACAGATGTCTCCAGACATTGCCTGGGGTCCCCTGGGGGAAGGATCCACCCCAAGTGAGGACCACTGGGTGAAAGCACAGCCTCTACAACCTGTTCTTGGGTCTTTTGAACCTTGAGAGCCACATCGCTGCTCACTTTTCTTTCTCTCCCCCTGCCTCGCACAAACGCTTACCCACTCAGTGCTCGGATTTCATGCACCTGGAACTCAGCCCACGTGCTCTTGGGGGCTTCTGAGCTTCACTGCACTTCCCATCTAACCACCACGCCCTCACACACACGCATCTGCCTCTTTAGTGCTTATCTTAATTGACACCTCCTCCAGGAAGTCTTCCTGGAAGCTCTCCTACCAGATTAGAATCCTTTATACCCCACATTTCCCATTAACGGTGGGGGAGTACCTCTTGTCTGCCTTGTTCAATACTGTGTTTCCCAAATCTACCACAGGTTATATGCATGCTCAGCAAACATTGAGTGAGTGGAGTGAGTGAGTGAGTGAGTGAGCGAAGAAGGCTTCTGGGAGAAGGTGCTATTCATGGTAATCACGGGAAGGGAGGGGAAGGACAGACAACACGTGGAAGAGCACTGAGGAGCGGCCAAAGGAAAGAAAACGCACTCAAACCTTGGATTGTGAGTAATGTGCTCTGCGAGTGTTCCGCAAGACGAGCAAACGTTTCTAATTAATCTTAACTTGATAAACCACCGATATCTTGCAATAATGAGTAGTACATGATGCCAAACGTCACATGATCCAACTGAGCCAATGATCTCTCTCTCTCTCTCTCTCTCTCTCTCTCTGTCTCTCTCCGCGGGATTGTGGGTGATCGTCTCCCAGGCTCTGATGCTCGGTCTCAGGCCACCGTGTTTGGCAGAAATCAGTGACTTTTCAGAATGTTGGAAGGTGCCCACCATGGGCTCTCGTGTATTTTTTAATCACTTCAGAGCACCTACAGACAGTTCTTGGCTTTTTCATACAAGAGTGAGCTTAGGAAGGCTTTGCTTCATTCTAGGTCAGGCTGCCTGCAGGTATAGACCCTTCCCTCTGCCGCCTTACTGCCAGTTACAATGAATACAGTATGATGAGAGTTTATTCATACTGTCCCGTAGTCGACATCCGTTACTGACAGTGTTGTCCTACACAATAACCTTCCTCTCCCTTGTCCCCCTCACACCAGCCTCGAAGGCTTTCAAAGGTAAGTGCAGATTAATATTTTTCTTTATATTTTCATTCTCTTTATTATTTTGTATAATACTGCAGTATTGTGATCATTTTTATATGAACACCTTTGGGTTGTGGAATGAATCATCTGAGTTTCCATTATTTCTTATGGGGAAATTCACTTTGATATACAAGTACTTTGGATTAAAGCATGTTCCTGGAACAAACTGTACTCGCAAACCAAGGTTTTACTGTAAATCCATTCAAGAGGCCACCACCAGAATTTCTTTTTAATTTTTTTAATGTTTTATTTATTTCTGAGAGAGAGAGACAGCATGAGCATGGGAAAGTCAGAGAGAGACGAAGACACAGAATCCAAAGCAGGCTCCAGGCTCTGAGCTAGCTGTCAGCACAGAGCCCAACGCGGGGCTCGAACCCACGAACCACGAGATCATGACCTGAGCCAAAGTCGGACGCTTAACCGACTGAGCCACCCAGGCACCCCCCACCAGAATTTTTTTTAATAATCGGAGCTGGGCTTTAGAAAGATTTATTCTGGCACGGTGGATTATACATAAACGGGAAGCAAGGACACCAGTTAGGTACCTGTTAAGATGGTACAAGCAAGTGGTTGGGGTATAATTGCAGTGAGGTAGTGGAGACAGCCAGGGAGGGGAGTGGGCGGAAGCGAGAGGTCCTCACAGCAGATCAAGTGGGTTATGAAATCAAGCTGGGGGTTACGACCAGGTTAGTTGTTTTTTATAACGGACCAGATAAAAGTAGAAAGCATGTGAAGTGTTGATGTAATCAAGATAGACACACTTTGTAAAGCCTTTGTTTTCTGTATAACGTGCGTATACATGCATAGATGGTATTGGGCTCCCATATACAGGGTAAAGTGTACCGTGTATTGGACACACGAAATGTATGACTAGACCTAAGTGTCAAAAGCCAGGAGTGCTAGCCAGTAATTTGCCACCTATTTTGAGGTCATGGGTCTCTCCTGCAATCCTCTGTGATAGACGTTTGTGGGGTTTTGCCAGCTGGCGTACATTCCACCTTCTTTTGCAATAACACCCCAATTCCCTTCTAAGGAACTTTTCTCCAATGGATTTATTTTTTTTTATTAAATGTTTTATTTATTTCTAGGAGAGAGAGAGAGACAGCGTGGGCAAGGGAGGGTCAGACAAAGAGGGAGACACAGACTGAAACAGGCTCCAGGCTCTGAGCTGGCAGTCAGCACAGAGCCCGATGCGGGGCTCGAACCCACGAACCGCGGGACCATGACCTAAGCGAAAGTCGGATGCTTAACCAACTAAGCCACCCAGGTGCCCCATGGATTTATTTTTTTTAATATATTTTTATTATTTCTAGGAGAGAGAGAGAGAGAGACAGCGTGAGCAGGGGAGGGTCAGAGAGAGAGGGAGACACAGACTCTGAAACAGGCTCCAGGCTCTGAGCTGGCAGTCAGCACNCTGAAACAGGCTCCAGGCTCTGAGCTGGCAGTCAGCACAGAGCCCGACGCGGGGCTCGAACCCACGAACCGCGAGATCATGACCTAAGCGAAAGTCGGACGCTTAACCGACTAAGCCACCCAGGCGCCCCCTCTCCAATGGATTTAAATACCACTTCTATGTGCGCGCCGGAGACAACGGGCTTGGCGTATGTGGGGAGCAGTGAGGAGGCCAGAATGGCTTGGTGCAGGGTGAGGGGGCGGCAGGGAGACAAGGAGGGCTTCCTAGATCCTAACCAGGACTCAGAGGTTCATTCCAGGAGTGAGGACCCATGACCTCACAATAATTGAGAGCCCCCCCCTCCATCAGCTCTTGGACGTATGACTGCCCACTGGATGCCTCCACTTGGACATCTCAAGTGGCAGATGGCATCTCAGACCAGCGGTCGGGCACCTAGAGGCATTTACTCGATAAATATTTGATGGAGGCACGAACTGGACAGTGGGGGAAAGCGGGGGGGAGGTGCAGGGACTAATAAGTGCCGCGCCATGCTGGATCCATCCAGCACTTTCTGCTGGGAGTCTGAATTGTGAGCTGAATGTAAGACTGAAAGCAACAGAAGTCCGGGAATTCTCGAGAGCTGCCCCTCCCGTTCCGCCAAACTGATCCCGCTGCCAAGGCCCCTGGAGCTACACGGTTTCTTCTCTTTTCCTTTTGATCTTCT